TATCGAGTAAGTTGACACCTCTCCCTTCGAGGCCGGAGAGGGGTAGTTGGGGGGTAAGGTGTTGGTGGAATATTTTGATATCTGGGAGGAGGATATTGTAGAGTTGCTAGAGGTGTAGGTTGATAAGGTGTTGGGGGACAATATGGTTGTTGTTGTGGCGGAGGATTTACTATGAGAGATGGTCTAATTGGTGGGAAATTGGGCTAAACTGTTGCCACAAAGTTGGTATGGGGGAAGGTGGCAGGTGGAGGGACTCCATGGGTGGAGATTGCATGTACTTCATCCTCTACTGTTGGTTTGGGTGGAGGTCTCCTTGGTCCAAAGTTAGGACTTGGTGTTCTTCTTGCTCTAACTATCACTGAGTTTATGTGTCTGTGCCGCACTCTCTTATATTCTCATGGCACCTTCACTACATCACTAAAGTCCCTCAAAGGTTAAGCCACTAGCAATGTATGATATGGGTCATTTAGCATTTTGATGAAGACCTAGACCATCTCTTCCTTCAACAGGGGATGACATAGTTTAGTAGTCATCTCGCACCATCACTATGCATGGCCCAAGAAGGATTCTCCATATTTATGACAAATAGATTCCAAATATCCTTAATCTAGAACCAACTCCATATTGTAAGAGAAATGGTTCAAAAAAGTTTCAGACACTTTCTATCATGACTTTTTCTTGTTTTCCTTCAAATTGGCGAATCATGTCTTAGCACTTTTCCATTAGACTCTTCTGGAACATCTGGATTAATAAACTCTTGTCCGATCCGTGCTAAAACATATTTCCATAGAATATCTTTAAATGAGCCTACGACACCCCTTCCCGTCATACTTCTCAAAATCTGGAATCTTAAACTTCTCTAGTAGTTTGACATTCGAGTAGAGATACAACTCCTTAAATTTTGTAACTCCCAAGTTATGCATCCCTCTCACCTATTTCATTTCTTCCTTTAATTTCTCCACACCATTTTTCAAAATGGTTTAGAACAAAGGAGGGGAAGGTATAGCAAATTTAGGATCCTCCTCATTAAATAGCGTAGGAAGAGGTTGGCAGGAAGATTGCTCTCGAAAGTTAAATGTTGGTTGGGTGTAGGTTGGTGAGTTAAAGCAATAAATACAAAAGCATGAGATGCAAAGGTGGTGTTGGGTGTAGTATAGACATCAGGAACGAAGAGGACATAAAGGCTAGGAAAGATGTTGGTGCGATCGAAGGTGAAGGTAGGAAAGGGCATTGGTGTAGGTGGTTAGATAGATATGGTTGTAGGAGGAGGAAATGATGGTTCAGATCGAGTGTGTTCTGCACGGGAGGTTGCAAATTGAGTTGTTATTTCCTCTAGCCTCTTTTGAAGTTTGAGGTACTCACTATATGGGACCAAGACTAGTATCATGCGATTTAATGAAGAAGCAGCCAAACTCATAGATGAGGAGGTGAATGTGATCGATTTGATTATTATATGACAAGTTGTAGGCACTTGGGGTTCCTAATGGTATTCTCCTGTTCACAAAACTTGGTTAGTAATTGTCTCTTTCTCTTAATTCTTCTTTCTCCCTTCTTTTCTTCTTCTTTTTCTTTTTTTTTTTGCTTGTTTTTTATTTTTATTTTGTTTTGTTTTTCTTGTTTTCTCCTTCTTTATGATTTCTTTTACTTTTACTTTCTTTTTTTAATTTTTTATTTCCTCTTGTTTTTTATTCCAAATTGCTTCAAAATCATTTTTGTTTATTATATGAAGAAGATTCATTATGCCTCCGTCGTAGAGAGCATAATGTATGTCATGTTGTCCACTTGACTTGATATTGCACAAGTTGTCAGTGTAATGCGTATATACTAGTATAATCCAGGACAAGATAATTGTATTATAGTAAATAACATACTTAAATACCTAAGAAGAACTAAAGACTATTGTATAGTATTTGATGGTAGTTCACTATAGGTTATCGGGTATATAAATGCCAATTTCTAATTAAATCTAAATGGTAAAAAGTCTACATCTAGATATTTTTCTATTGGGATCCTATGCAGTTAGTTGGAGAAGAAACAAACAAGGTCCCATAATTGATTCTGCAACTGAGGCTGAGTACATTACCGCAAGTAAAGTTACCAAAAAGTAGTTTGAATGAAGAAATTTGTCGAATAATTTGGTGTCGTACTTATTAGCACATCACTCATTCCATTGTTGTGTGGCAACACTGAAGCCATTGCTCAAGCCAATGAGCCAAGAGCACACTTGAAGTTTAAGCACATCAAGAAGAAATATCATATTTTATTGGAGATAGTTAGGAGATGTGACATTCAGATACAAAAGGTAGCATTAACAGAGAATGTGATAGATTCATTGACTAAGATGATATTTTGATTTACACCCTCTTTGATGAAAACACAAAACTGCTAGTGGTGGATTTTAACTTGTTTCGAAGTGAGATCTAAATAGTGTATTTATATTCATATATAGTTTATTTTCTAGTAAGAGTTTGCAAAATGGATATAATCCCACAATCCACCTAAGTGGAGAGTGTGACACTATATTTTGAAGTCAAGGAAGAGGTTTTTCCATGTTAGTAGTATTTTGATGTTATTGGCTAAGATTTTACATGCAGATGTCTAGTTGGATTAATGCTTGATGGGCATATTCTTTCTTTGAACCATTTGGTTTGGGCTCATAGGATGGATAAAGCCCAAAACCCCATATATTAATCAAATGTTAAGCAAAAAAAAAGCCTAATACATGTTAGAACAGTTCACTAAAAAACCTTAGTGAATTTGGCCGAACCTATGTGGTTTAGGCTCGAGCCCGAACTCGACCTGATAATATTTTATATAATAAAAAATATTTTATGTATATACTATTTTTCTTTGTTCATCATCTCTTCTCAAGCCAAAGTGAGATCTTTTAGTATTTTTGTCTTTTGTGGTTGTTTAATATAAATAAATAAGTTTTGTTGTTGAATAAAAATAAAAAATCTTCTCATCCAAATTTTGGTTAGGCTTCAGACTTGACCTGAGCTTCAAGCTTCATATGTAGGGGTGTAAACGGATCGAATTCGAATCGAGTTAGGCAACATCCAAATTCGAATCCGATATCCAAATTTGATTCGATATCCAATAGATATTGAAAAATTAATATTCGAATTCAAATCTAATTAAATATTTGAATATTCAATTCGATTTGAATTCAATTAATTAATTATTTTAGATAATTAATAAATATATAAAATAAATTTTTTATTGATATAAAGTATATAAATATATATAAATTATTTATATAACTTAATTATTATATATAATATTTTATGTTATATATATTAAATATAAGAATTAAATAATCAGTCAAATTCGGGTATTTATCGAATCAAATCATGTCATATCCGAATTCGACTGTTAGATATTCAAATTATTCGAATTCGAGTCGATTATGTTGATTATCAAATTCAAAATCAAAATTTCGAAAACCATTTACACTCCTATTCATATGAGGGCTAGGCTCGGGCTCAAGGTCTAAGCGCAATGGTGAAGTCAAGTTCGGGCTTGGCCCTAACCTAGCTTGGCTTGGCCCATGAACAAGTATAGTTGAAAAGCAACAAAACAACCACTAAACCATGCTTCAATTACTTGTCTTTATCATATAGGTTTTTATAAAGACAACAAGATTATTATTATTTTTATTTTTATTTTATTTATTTATTATTATTATTATTATTATTATTATTATTATTATTATTATTATTATTATTATCTGTAACATGCAATGTAACGCACGTTTACAAATAAACTAACAAACTTCTATATGATATAGTTTAGATGTTTTGGTGATAGAACAAATGGAGATAAAATTAACAAGTGCTTAGTTAAAATAAATTAAAATCAGCTTCTAGATGGTAGTTGTTTTTCCTTTAGCATGCATTTGGCTTAGGATGGATTTTGATTTGGTGGCAGATTGGAATGATGTGTTCCATGAACTTATATTCAATTTCTTTGGCGGATTTGGAATCATCTATTCCATGAACAACCACTGCTAATTTTAATCAATCCTTCCCTTATGCAGATATGCACAAGTAGGGATCTAGGTGGTATGGAAAAGATTTGAATATGTTATGAGGTAAGTTAATCAAAGACAATTGAACAAGTAGTGTTGCTTGTAGGAATCCAGAAGAGAATATTTAACTATATGTTTGGAAGTGTGGACGTTTTTCTGAAAAACGGTGCCACGTCAGGTCCACGTAGGCGATTCCACAAACAACCGCCTACCGGATTGTTTGGTTCAAGCATTTTTTTGAAAAAAATGCTGAAAAACGGGCATGCATCATAAATCGTATCCCAATTGTTACATGAATTGGTGTTTCATGCATCGATGAACTGTTTCCCTCAATAATTGAATGATGTGGCACTTACATGTATGTGCACATATATGATAAACGCACGGTGATGAAAATCACTTTACCAAACAACATTAGTGTTGTTCACTGCCCATGTGACAAAATCACTATCAAACATATGAAGATGTTTTTTTTGTGAAAAACTGATCTAATAAGTGTAGACGTTTTTTTTTTTAAATCGATCTCAAAAAATGCCCACGCTTTTAAACACCATCAAACTAACGTTTCAAATAAAATGAATTATATAAAGATAGAAAAAAACAAGTGGACATAGTGCATAATCATTACGGTCGTCCATAATAGCTTTTCCCAAGAAATATTACAAGTTCCACCTTCTACGCTTTCGTTGTTTAATTTTGTCTTTCATGTTTAATTACTGGTTGGGTTTTCAAGCCCGAACTCATCAACTGAATACTTACAAGAAAATTTATCAAGTAAAACGAATAGATAAACTATCTCTTCTTTAAATGACTATATTAATACAATTGGGATGTTCTCTCCGTACGCTAAATGGAATCTACTCGTGTGAGTAGATCAATGATCGTACGAGAGAGCAACCCAACCGTGCGAGTAGATCGCATATAAAATGCACTATAGCACGCATTGCATGAATAACACGTGTTTCACTTTTCTCCGTTGTCTTCCTTGTCTATCTTCCCACTGCCCCCTCTCTCTCTTTCTCCGCTTCCTCTTCCCACTCTACCTCTCTTCTTGTTTCATCACTTCCCTCGCTCTCCTCCTCTATCTTTCCCAACTTTTTTCTGTGGTTTCTTATTTGCATGCTTGAGCAGCCTTCTTCGTTGAAGAAACCCTAAGTATAGGTCTGGGAAGAAGAAAATCTAGCAGTTCGGGTTTCTTATTTTTTCACGTGCTCCACTTTTTTTTCCGCTCTCTTCCTTGTCTATCTTCCCACTGCCCCCTCTCTCTCTTTCTCCGCTTCCTCTTCCCACTCTACCTCTCTTCTTGTTTCATCACTTCCCTCGCTCTCCTCCTCTATCTTTCCCAACTTTTTTCTGTGGTTTCTTATTTGCATGCTTGAGCAGCCTTCTTCGTTGAAGAAACCCTAAGTATAGGTCTGGGAAGAAGAAAATCTAGCAGTTCGGGTTTCTTATTTTTTCACGTGCTCCACTTTTTTTTCCGCTCTCTTCCTTGTCTATCTTCCCACTGCCCCCTCTCTCTCTTTCTCCGCTTCCTCTTCCCACTCTACCTCTCTTCATGTTTCATCACTTCCCTCACTCTCCTCCTCTATCCTTCCCAGCTTTTTTTTTTCTGTGATTTCTTATTTGCATGCTTGAGTAGCCTTCTCCATTCTAAGTCTAGCAGTTCGGGTTTCTTATCTTTTGTTTCTTATTTTTTGTTCTAAATGAAACCCTCTTTTCCCCTGATTTTAGCTCAGTTGATAAGGTGAAGGACTGCGAATGGGTTTGTCGCTACTTTGAATCTGGTAGGTCTGGTTTTTTATTTTTGTTCCGAGGATTTGGGTTTATGGTGCCATGAAGAGTATTACTGTATGTTTTTTTTATTGTAGGGGTTTCTTTGGCTTTTCCATTAATCTTGCTGGTTCTCTTTGTTTTCCGATTGTAGGGGTTTTTGCTGACGTTATTTCCTCTATTCTAGAGGTGGAAAGGTTGATTTCCATTGTAATGGATAGTAATACTATTTGCTTTTGTATTGTAGGGGTTTGGTTGGATTTTCTCACATAATTTGTTGCATTTGTGTTCTTAGTATTACTATTTGTTTTCTCAATCTGGTTACGTTCTTTTGAAAATTTTCCTTTTCACGTTTGTTTATTTTTTTCAAATTTTCTTGACTTGAATTTTTGGTTTCGTAGCTGGTTCTGGGTTTTGTTTCTTGTACTAGCACTAGTGCTCGACGATGACCTTCTTGCTAACAAATGTCTTTGGTAACTTATGATTTAATTTCTACTATCTTTATAATTTCTGATTTAATTTCCATTTCCATTTTTGGTTGTTGATTTAATTTGTTATCCATTTTTTTAAAGTGTCTCTTTTGGTTTGTATTTGCGGGCTACGCTTATTGTAAAGTTGTCGCTGGTTCCGGTTGGTGTTTCAACTTTTCTTTTGTAGTTTGCACTCTGATTTGGCAGTTGTTTAGTTTTTTCCTAGGGTTCCTACATGGTACATCTATGTTCCTTGGTTTTATTCGTATTGATCTATTACTAAATAGGTACAGGAAAAAGTTTTTTGACCATTATTTTCATTTGGTTCACCTCTGTTTTTTGTATTTTGGAACGTTTGGAAATTTAAGAAATTTTGCTATTGTATATTTATTTCACATGTCATTGCTTTAACCCTTGTTTATGCAATTTCTACATATTTAACATGTTGGGGTTTCTGTTCCTCAAGTTAACTCCATGGATCATGATTAGGTCTATGCTTCAGAAATGGCTTCTTATTTCTGTATACTTCATGTTTTCCCTTAATTTGTTGTCTATTTAATTATTTGTTGCTTATTTGATTCCGGTTTATTAAATTGTTTCTTGCTTGCTTGGTTATTTGATTTGTGTTTTGTAGGGTATTTTATTTAATTATATGTTGCTTATTTGATTTGTGCTTTTGCAAGGTATTTTTATTTCTTGGCATTTATATTTGGCTTTTATTTTCTTTGATATTTCTTAGTTTTCTTTATTCCCACTACCTTTGTAATTTATGATTTCATTTAGTTGGATCTATGTATTTCCATTAGGGGTAGCCAATGGATGCATTAGGTTGGTTTGTGTTGGAGAGGGAGGTCGAAGGCTAACCAATCCATCCACTAGTCGCCCATGTCAAATTGTCAATTATGTGATTGATGGTATGTTAAATTAATTACGGGTTGGTGTCTATTTGTGATTTAATTCCACTGCATTTCTCATATAAAGATGTAGGTTTCAATTACTCTTCCCCCCTTATGGAATGCTTTTATCTCTTTTAAGTGATAATTTTGCATTGTACATTTCTATATTAGTTTGTAATAATAATAATTTCACTATTTTCTTTTAAATGTTTTTAGCTCCCCTCCACAAAAGCTTATTAAAAGACAAAAGCAATAAACTTTTTAATAGTTCGATCATTTCATCGCCGGTTTTGATTTTTGTTCCTTTTTTGATGTTTTGGATGATTTGTTGTTTAAAATAGGGCTTTGCGGTATTTATTTTTAGTTCAATTGAATAGGGTTTTAGTTCTCATTTGTTTTGTATTCAGATGAAATCATGATTTTAGGGTTTCTTTGTTTAAGTCGGGTTGGGGTGTATATAGGGGCTTCAGCGATATAGGGCCGAAACGTGATTTCATCTTTTGTTGTCTCTCTGTATCTTCCTTTTTGTTAAATTTTCTTATGCTTTTGTTTGTGAAAGTTTGGATTTTGGGTTTTCAGCAATATAGTATTTTCAGAGTTTAATGTCAAATTACTGGTTTTGTTATTTCAATCCAAATTGATATAATTTGGATTTTGATGCTTTTGTTTGTTATATTAATCTATTTGCTTTGTGATCTTTCAGATTTAAGTTGAGGAGAAAGAGGGAACATCTCCATCTTTGGGCTTAGAGGTAGGTTCGTGGTTGGTGTGTTGAAGTCTTGCATAAGGTAAGAAAGCTATATCCGTTTTCTTGATATAAATTTGTGCAATGTACATGAGTAGCTTGCTAATTAGGCAGCGAAGTTATATATGTAAACATGGCAAACATTATTTCCATTTTCTTAAGAATGAAAAATATAATTAGAGCTATACATTTCTTATGGAATTCTGAGTTCTTAGGTGTTTTTATTTCATACTTTGACAACTAACAGACCCACAAACTGTGTTCAATCTCATTTCTTTGTATCTGTCTTTATTTTCATGCTTTGAGACCTAACAGACCCAGAAATTGTGTTTTTAACTTTTTATTTTATGCTTTGAAAACTTACAGACCCAGAAATTGTAACATGGATCAATGGTGAATGGCTATTGGTACCCATGTTTCATGTTGGTTATTGTTAAGATTGGAGATAGGGAAGTTAAGGTCAAATGGTACTAATTGGAAATTTTCTAGCTGCCTTCTTTTCTTTTCTACCTTTTTTTTTTCTTTGATTGGGATGGTGGTGGTGTGCAATGACTCTGTGCTACAATTGATTTTAAGAGATCTTATGGGATTGATGTGGGAGTCCTTGAATGCCTAAGTTCTAAATATATTTCAAGGTGATACCTTTATTAGTCTAAGGTGATTCAGAAAATGCTAAGGCATGGGCATTGGGAGATGTGGAATATCCTTGGGGAGATGCCACTGAAAGAAATTGTGTCCTTGGAGACATTCTGCATATTCATACTTTTTAAGTGCCAGTATGGATGTCAGAGGGTCAAAGGGTCTCATATATGCAGTCTTTGTGGTTTTATCTAAGTTATGGCTTTCTTTCAATGGAAGCACTTTTTTTTTATTTTTTTCCCTATCTTTCTTGCTTTTCTTTTTTTGCTTGCACAACAAAGCTTGCATATTTTATTACCTTGTTGCATTTGATAGTTGTCTAAATCCTGGATATTTAGATTCAAAATTTAATACTGACATGTATTTTTATTTGCCTATTAAGAAGTCTGTACCACAAATTCCACTTGGCAGTTCCAATAATTTTTCATGTTTGGGTCTTAACTATATTTCACACTGTGTGATATTTGTGAATCTAGAGATCTATTAATCTGATTTCAACTAATTCACAAATATGGCATAGTGCAAATGAAAATGCAAGACACTTAACATCACACTTGTTACTTGAGGTGATGCAAGTAGGAGATACAAATACATTGAGAGTTTCACACTACTTGATTATTATTAAAAAATTAATAATTTAAAAAAATTATATAAAATTAAATAAATATTCGCTTGTTTAATAAATGGGATTTTTGGCTCTAACAACCCTTGAGCTTTGCCAAATTATCACTTTAGACCATAAATAATTAAAAAGGTAATTTTTCACCCTTAAAATATGATGAAAATACCACTTTAAGGCAAAAATAGACAATGTTAGAAATGTAATTGATAAATTTGTTAGACAATGAATAAAATTATAAAAGCATGCTTATGTTGCACTACTCAAGTATGAAAAGGCCACTTTGGCTATTAAAAAACTAGTGGCCTAAGCTAGGGGTGACCAAATGGGTAGGTTATACCTAGAACCGAATGAAATTGACCTTGAACCAGTCTTGAACTGACCCTACCAAATCAGTTATAAGGTAGGGTCTGGTTCCAAATTCTTGTAACCGACTCCCACCCAAGCCAGTTCCAAGGTCTAGGGGTTTACCCTACCTGAACTGACTCGATGAATCGAACTTGGTTGGCCTTGGTGGAACCGACCTTGGTGAAAGTTGCCTTGGAACCAAACTTGCCTTGAATAAACCCCAAAATACTTTTGGGGATGTGAAGATTTGAATCCAAGCACTCATGGTCTCACTTGACCATTGAGTTAAAAAGGGATAATTCCCGATTAGTACCTTGTACTTTGGGCCTAGTGCCATTTTGGTCCCCGAACTTTAAAATGCGACAAATTAGTACTCGAACTTTCAAAACATGACAATCCAGTACCTGCTATTAACTAGTTGTTAACCAGACATTAAGTGGCATTTGAAAAGGACATAAATGCCCTTTGAGTGTCATTTAATTTTCTTTATCAACCATCTAAACATTGACAAAAAATTAACAGTCCCAAATCTCTACCTTTTCCATTCAAGAAAGTTGTGGTCACGTTTGAGTGGGCATTTTGGTGACCCCAACTTTCTTGAATGGAAAAGACAAGGATTTGGGACTGTTAATTTTTTGTCAATGTTTAGATGGTTGATAAAGACAATTAGATGACACTCGTAGGGCATTTGTGTCTTTTTCAAATGCCACTTAAGGGCTGGTTAACAAATAGTTAACAACAGGTACTGGACTGTCATGTTTTGAAAGTTCGGGTACTAAATTGTCGCATTTTAAAGTTTGGGGACCAAAGTGGCACAAGGCCCAAAGTACAAGGTACTAATCAGGATTTTCCCTTACTTAAATTATTTGATCATTTGTTTTCATTTTAATATATTGAATGTGTACAATAACTCATGTAAAAGGTAATATTTACAAAATTTAAATTATAAGTTTTAAACCATATAATGATAATCAACATATTAAATTGCTCAAGTTTTTAAAGAACATGGTTTTGTTTTTTGAAGATGGGGGTAAAGAAAGAATAGGTTCCACAGATAGACCCTGGAACCACTAAGGCCAAAACCGACCATCATAGGATAGGTTCCGGTTCCACGTTTTTGGAACCGGCCCCTACAAGGTAGGTTCCAAGTTCTGCTATGGAACTGAACCTAACCAACCCATGCTCACCCCTAGCCAAAGCAATTTCTTTTTCGGGTCGATTTTTAAAACCTTACTTAATTGGCTTAATTTACTTATTTAGATTGATTAGCTTTGTTTATTTAATTTACTTAGTTTTTACTTATACAATTACTTAGTTTACATAGTTGGTTAAATTTACTTAATTATTTTAATTGGTGTAATTTATTTAATTTACTTAATTAGTTTTATACCATCATAGACCTTGAAGTAATTTACCTAATCAGATTTATCAAAATGGCCTTTTCAAACTTTAGGGGGGTCTAAAGTGGTTTTTTCAGAAAAGTTTAAGGGTTGTCAGAGCCAAAAGTTCTTAATAAAATGTATATAATAATACATATTATATAAAATTAATGTAAATCATCATTTTCCACTATTAAACAAATACTAACTATTGATTAATATGCAAGTTCATAAGTCTACCATCAATAAAATTTCAGTTTAACATGTTAATGGTGAGGCATATAATGTATGCAAGTTACATAGTGTGTCTCATGTTCGGTAAATTCATCTACCCAAAAGAATGAATTGGTGTGATTCTCCCATTTGAGTAATGGAAAAACCAATGACCATAATTAGCATTAGTTATCAACCCTCTATCGCACAAGCACATAGGCATACATATATGGATGGCCATTCCTATTTTAACTTACCAATAGAAAAATAGAATAACAATGCATAAATTTATAATATTATATACATTTTTTTGAACAAAGCCAAACATAAAGTCAACTACAACATAACTCTATAAAGTTAAAGATACAAAATCAATTGCCCTATAGCATAACAAGTATAGTTGATACTACTCCCACATTTGATCTGCTATGTTATCGCTAATATTAGTTGTTTAAATGTCTACATGTTCATATTCATCATTTGAGTCATCATCAAAATCTTCATTTTCATCCTCACTTGTCATGTTTTCTCGTGACTATCTCTTGATATCTTTATCATGAATATCTTCTCTTTTAATGAAGTTGTAGGTGATGAAACAAACCATCATGATGTAATGTTGTAATCGTATATCAAATGGTGGTATGTTTTATAGGATAGGAAACTTCCCCTTTAATATACCAAAGCACTTTTCTATAATATTCCTTAATGATGAAGATATGTAATTAAATAATTCTTTCTTTGATCAAAACCTTTAATGTCTCCTAAAATCATTCAAATGATATTGTTCTTTAGCAAAAGGTGTTACATAGCAAAAGGTGTTACTCTAGGACTAGTTAGGCATAAACTTGTTTCTAAGTGGGAACATGACAATTTCTACAAATACTCTAGGGTTATGTATAGATCATTTCCAACTCATATAAACAAAAGTAAATTGTGTATCAAATGAACACACTACCAATACATTCATTGTTCATCACAATTTTCTTCTTTTATATGAGATTTGCTCTTCTTAAAGAACCCACTCACTTTTATGGGTACCATCAATTGCACCAATAAAATCCTATTTGGACACACACATGGTTAATACATGAAACATACAACAAATATTTAGACTTGTTAAACGATAATGGTGAACTACTTGGAACCATGGATAATATTTCTCTGAATGTTTGATATGAGGATATACCTTTTCAAATGAGGGTAGACAAATTAATTCTCTCCCATGTTTAAATGTTGCTTTGTAAGTTTTCCTAAAGTAAACACTGATGGTGCTCTTTGAATGCTAGAACCTATTGGACATTATACGATATCATTCATTATAGCCAACAATCAGGAAGAAAATTTCCAGGATTCTTCAATTATGATATTTTGAGAGTTTTTTTTTTTTAAATGTTGGATTTTCTTAGTAGATTTGTGAAATTCTTAAATACATATTTCTCCATCCTAAAAGAATCATATGCCTTGTTAAGGCGCTCTAAGTCATATAGACATTTATAAAGAAATGCATGCCCATTCATCTTTAATATGAAGCAAGGTTGCTTGACAAAGTATGTCTTATAGTATTTTACCATTTCGTTTAAAAAAAGGGGTTCAAAAAACTTATTGTCATAGTCATCCCATGAATTAAAGAGAAGTTTATTTTCTATACTTGACTGGTCCATTGAATTCCTATTGAAAAATAAAATTCACGAACCAATCTTCACTATAATAGAAGAGAACATAGTAAATTACACATTAAAATCACACACCAATGCTTAGAGTTACGATATAAACTTTCTTGATAAAGTCACAAGATCAAATTGGCATGATATTTCTTGAAGCTTATCAAAATATAACTATTTGAAAGTTACAACATCCTAACAAAATTCATAATAATGTGATAATTCATCCTAATAAAAAGACAAAGTTAATCCATGTATTCAAATGCTATATCATAAACCCAAATAAGAAACTAAAAGCTCCACGTCTATATATAGGCTTTTCAAACAATTAATCTAACATTGTGTAGTATGATATGTAGGCATTCCTCCAATATTCTTCCTTGAAGACATCATGCCCAACGTTAATAGTTCTAATCAATAAAAAACCATTCACAATTTCCACTATTTTGAGATTCAGATGTCCTTTCCTTGTTGTTCTTCCATTTCTCTATTCATTTTTCCCTCCCTCTCTATCTAAATCTCAAGCATCTTGTCCTACTTTTGATCATTTGAGACCATGCCTCCATTGTAGGAAAAAGATCACCTCCTTGCCTACCCTTCTTCTTAAGAGATGATGGATGGGAGCCCCTTGTTGTTAACCTGTCTATTGGTGCGATTGAATCTCTACATCCATGTTAACTCTGGGGTTTTTTGAGTAAATGCATAATGTGTTTGTATGTCATTAAGGGAGTTGTTAGATATTGGATCTCATGTCAATGGGATATGATCATTCTCTTCATCTAATGGGATCTTAACATTACCCATACTCCATAGATATGTAATCAGTTGCACTAGTCCTAGAGTAGATAATCTTCAACTTCTCATAATAAGGGCAACCATTTTTCCATATTTCTTCTACAAATTTATTTTGCACGAAGTATAAAAATCTCTTAAAAATAATCTATACACATTTATAAAATTCTTGCTCAAATAAGGAAGTTCCATATACTCTCTAGCACTTTGTTTCTCTGTGATTAGATCTATAGTGACCCCTGTAATATTGCAAATTTTTTGATAATCATTATTTTTTTCTTACGATAATGAAATTTATTTCTAAATTGATCACTAGTGTATGAATTGTATCTCTTATTTAAGTTCTCTATGATGTATTTCTAACCTTCTATATAAAAGGTAATGTTGGCCTATCATGTGCTTTAACTTGCTTAACCATCAACTCTATAAATGTCCTTTCCTCAGCCTCACACATCATGTTGCATATGAGTGGGTGGAACGAAACACATTTAGAGACATCATACCATCATAACAAACAACATAATAGACACTAACTTATATATCAACTAAATTTAAAGCAAATGGTTAAATGAGTAGACCAAACACAAACACCACACAATCATGTTAGATAGTTTTATCACCTATTTTCTTTAATGGCAGATGTAATGCTCAAATTGTATATGATAAAATTTCACATGAATATATTCACACTACTAAAAAGTTTATTTTTAGAGGCGGTAAGTGGAGGCATTTAATAAAAAACATATTTGTAAATCGCCAATTATGACACTTCAAATGTCTTATTTCAGAGGCAATTCATAGATGCCTCTATATTGTATTTTATGCTCCACTTAATAAGGGCTTTTTTGGTATTAACCACAACTTATGACTGTACCCATTTTTTCTTTACTTTCGGTGCTTAAATAGTGATAGGCAACTTCAGGCTTCTTGTCATTGTCCATTTACGTCAGAGCACCAAAGAAATAGAGTTGGATTTTGAGATTTTAGGGGATGGGAAGAACAATAGTAATTCTATCGACAAAAAACTCCATTGCAACAGGTTAGGGCTTTGAGATTTCAAACATTTCTTTCTTACCTAATTCGTTTGGCTTTGAGGTTTTATTTTTTTTCTTTTGATTTAATTCGTTTTTGGTATTTGCATATTGATTCTAATCTCTTCTCTTCATCAAAATCACCTTTTAACACCTCTTCCCAGCTCTATTCCAAATGATTTAGCAGATGAGAAGCTCTAATGTAGAGCAGTGTATGAGGAAAGTTAAGATCCAAAGAACAACAATACCTCTCTTGGATTAGAAGAACGGGCGGTGTTTAGGGTTCTAGGTCTCCTTGATTAGAAGAAGGAAAGGACGACAAAGCTATACTTGTAGAATAAACTCCGTGAGTTCCCTTGGTTCTCCTTCCTCTCTGTTATGTTAGTCTACTTTTTTTCCACTGTAATTTCCTTTTTTTTTTTGAGTTTTGTCCGCAATTTTCAGTCTTTTCTACTCAAATGTTTAAACATATTTGGTTTTTGCTTATTAATTAATACTGCTATTTTCCTAATACTTCTAATATATCCACTCCAATGACATTTGATTTTAGAAAACTTCAATGTAATGAAATCATAAAACTCCATTGAAATCAGAAGTTAAAATATCTAGATTACATAGAGAATGCTAAAAGTCTGCCATGGCAAGAAGAAGCTTGATATATATAGAGTAGGTTAACAGAAGCAAATGGATGGAAGAACACTGATATCCAAAACTGCTCAATCGGTTATGTGGTGAGCACTAAATGCTTAGTAGATCCGTTGTACCTGGATAAAAAAATTACTCAAAGATAGGAGTCAAAGGACTTAACTGGGAACCATATCCCTTGTACAATGCTTAGCAGCCCTATGCACGACTAAGTAATAATGTAGAAATTTACTCAAAGCCAGAACTACTCTATCAGAGGTAAATGCCTACTGCCTTTGTTTTTAGCTTTGATTGATTCTACTTCCTCTGTGCTAACAACTGCACATATATGTACATACATGAACCATAATGCAAATAATGATTTATCATGTGATCTCATGAGTCAACCAGCAAACTAGCAACCGTATCGGTGTCTCTTTGATGCCAGGGGTAGAGCTAGGTATTTTCCCTCATTGGTGCCTTTGTGGTGTGGTTGGAAGAGTTGAAAATTTTTATCGTAAATTGGAAAATCTCTCATAGAAGAATATTTTTGTTATCAGTTCCATTGGAATATTTTTGTTCCTTCTCTAAATATACTTTTGTGTTTCAGTTGATTCAATTGATGCAAGTGAAAGGTGCGCGGAAAGGAAAGTTGGATCCATTCCTTCCTCTAGATTTATATGGTTTATCCAGAGTGGCTCTTATTTATTTATTTTGATTTTTGACCACTCTGTCTGGTAGCTCTTATGATGAACGAACGGTCAAATTTCACAAATCCATTTGAATCTGGCTCAATTCCATGCCCCTGTGAATATCCACCAGCAAGTGCAAACCCAATTAATTGTTGAATACCCACCAACTATTCAAAAGAACGAAGTTTGCTTTCAAAAATCCTATTGTTCCTTTCCTTCCACACTTCTACAAATAACAAAGGGAAGCATAGACTAGTTGATGAGCTTTACATAAGCTCATCCATGGGATGAGATAATCTGCAAACAGCAAATGAAGTGAACCACAACATAAGTAGCAACAAAAACAATTTTGATAATTTGTTTCTTGTAACCTGAAAAATGAGATTGTAGACCTATCAGTAATTAGCAAATCTCACTTTTGACAACAATTTTGCCCTTTAGAGGCTTATTTCAGCTGAGTGTTGCCTTTGGAAATCACTTCATGTGCCTTGTAGAATTTCAGGATCATAAAATCCTCAAACTTTTCAGGATCATAAAATACCTTGATTTGCGCTCTACCATATTTCATTATGGCCCCCTGTAATACTGGCAATCCAACCGGTGATGCCAGAAGAGTACCAATAGAAAATAAAATCATGAATGAACAAGTGGCTGTTATAACCTATATCTCGGAAAATTGATTAAACAAATTAAATGTGGTCTCTGAAAACCTTGAAGTGAATCTACGACTTGGCAGGTTGGCATGTTCCTCCAACTGCGTATTATTTTATTCCCACTCTATTATCTATATATATATATATATATATATATTAAAACTGGTCCTGCCATGTCAGCATATCTTTCGTTTAAGAGAAACTATTTATCTATTTTCTATATTTTTTTGAAATTTTTATTTTTTTAATTCCATGTCATTTTTGAAACAACCAATGATATGTACTTTCCCAATAACCTAAATAATCTCTTTTCCTAAAATTAAACTATTCCCCACTTTCTCCAAAATTATCTCTACTTCCTATTTATCTTTTAAATTCTCTAATTCCTATTTATCTCAAAATTATCTCTAATTTAGTAGGGAGTTTCTCTCTTAAATTATCTATAATTCCTATTTATCCTCTCCCATACTTTTTATCTAAAGAAAGTTTGGATTAAAAAATTTAAGAAATATTTAAATATTCTAACAAAATTATAAAATAACTTTAAAATATTTATTAAAAACACAAAATTATGATATATAACATTTTAGATTAAGAAATATGGGAAATTTCTCACTTTTTCATATTAAAAATTATATTTAAAATATAAAATATTAATGTATATCCATGGTTAGGTTGTTCGATTTTGGTCGGTTTATAAATGGCCAAAGTGGAATTGATCCAACTTGGTCAAATTGGGAGATTTTTGAACCAAGTTCAACCTAAAATACTTGAAAATCGAACAACTCGGGTCGAGTTAATTGGGTTGGCTAGTTTCATCAGTTTGATAAATAAACTTAACTAAAATTAATTATTGTTATTTTTTTATTATAAAAATTTTATTAGAAGTAGTGTATAAAATATGAAAAATTATTAATTATTTTAAAAAGTTAAAAATATAAAACAATCGTATATTCTTATGTGTTTATATTAGGGTAATTTATTAAAACACACTTTTAGGGATAACAATTTTTCCCATCCCCGGCAAGGACCTGACTTCCCCAACCCAATGGGGGGATGGGGATTGTTTTGGTGGGGCGGGGGCGGNGGGCGGGGGTGGGGACGAGGATTAATAGGAATCCTCGATCGAGGTCAAGGTCAGGGATGGGGATTGAGGTCCCCGCCCCACCCCAACCTCGATTATATGTGTGTGCGTGCATTAAATGTTATTTATATTAAATATACTATTATACTATTTATATTATATATTTATCAAAACATATTTAAAACATTATTTATAATTTATTTTTTTTATTTATTTTAAATAAATTTATTTTAAAAAATACTATTATCTGAAAACATTTTGGGGATTCGGGTCTCCATGGGGAACCCATCCCCGTCAGGGATCAGGGACGGGGTTTAATTTCAGAATCAAGGTCGGGGCCTTAGGCCCACGATTTCATTAAGGAGTATTTGTTATAATTTTTTATTCCAAAAATATTCTTGACACTTTTTTTTTTGTATAAAAAACAAAATTGAACAAATGTAGCCAATAGAGTGGTTGCCCAGGGAAAAAATAGTATTTTTATTTTTATTTTCTTTTGATTAAATTTATTTAAATGAACATTAAGGTCAACACTGCCATTTTCCACTATCATCTAATGGAAGATTGATTAAATCCATTGCAAATTATACGTGGTGGTTTTAGTAAAATACTAACTATAGGGTAGATTTTAGTAAATCCATAAAACTATAAGAGGTATTTTAGTGTATGACCCTTTTTATTATTTAGCTTTCTTTTAATAAATTCCGTGCACCACACGGGTCCCCATAAAAAAAACCATTGCTTATGTTCCAATTTGTGTTGTTTGGTTTGGATATCTTGATGATTTCTATGTGAAATGGAGAAAGATTGGGCCCAATTCATACAAGACTGGTTTCTCTATCACAAATAATGAGTTTTTGTTTTAACAAAATGAGTGATGGGTTATGAATTAGAGGTTTTGAGGAGGGAGCAATCCCCAGGTCATGACTATAATTAGCCATTCCGCTACACTAATTAATTTCCCACTCCTTCCTTGGATAGGGCTGTAGGGATTTGTCGGCAAGAAAACAAAGAAGATAGCAAAAAAACACAAAATCTATGAAGCAGCCAAGACATAGCAAAACTTAATGACATTTAAAATCGTTACACATTCATCTCCAACTTTTGTTTTATTTTAATTTTTTATCAATACCAACTTTAGTTTTATTTCTTTCTTTCAGTAATTGGAAAGGAAGGATGTAGCAAAGCTAAAATTTGTAATCATTAAGTCCAGTTCCTTCTGCTATTCCCAAGTGATATTCAAATTACAAGGGGATTGTAGCTGATAATGTTTTGACGATGATGATATTAAAGGGAGAAAAATGCGAGAACAAAAGGGGGAGGGGGGGGGGAGAGGAATTTTAGACACTAAACCTCAAAAAACACAACAAAAGCGAGACAACCAAAGTAAGGCAATAAGAGAGACTACTAAAAACCCCAGTCCCCTGTACATATTAACCTTAGACATCATCCTTGGTAAGGTATTGACAAAAAGCATCTCCATGGCACAAGTCGAAACTCATTAAGCATGAGAAGCACTAAACCTAGCAAAGCCCTATCCTGCATGATCAAGAAAGCTGTTAGTAAATTTAAATAACAGTTTGATTGACAACATTTGCCAACCTATGAGCAGTTCATTTTCTTACTCTTGCTCATTTCAAGGTTCCAAGTAACCATACCGGATAACAATGAAATTGATGCTTAACATCTGCGACTCTTTGAAGCCTCATACTTTTTTCTAAAGGATTTCTTTATTGTCAGGCAGGGTCCTTGAAATGTTGGAGCCTCATAATTTTTTCTTCTTTTACCTATTTGAGCCTTTTATCCAAGAAGCAGACTCCACAACTAATTTCTGATTATCATGGGCTGACAAGTGTGGAAATGTGGGTTAAGGGTCCATATCCAGTCCACCCCTCCAGATGGCTGGGACCAAAATTGGATAGTGGCCTTATAATTATTTCTAAAGGAACCATCTTGTTTTTCAACTGTCTCTGTTCTTGATCTGGTGGTTTCTTGACTTGGTATACTATTTACCATCTGCATTCTCTTCAACTTCTGTCCTATGCATTGACCCTGGTAGCATTTCTCATCAACTAGCATTGTTAAATAAATTTATTGTTTCTATGCTATCTAAATTAATTGAGATTTTATGGTTCAAGTGGCTGCTTGGTTAAAGTAAATATTGCAAATTTTATTGTTTGAAACAAGCCAGATGCTTTGTCAAAGCACTAACCGGGAAAATCTACACCTTTTGAATCTTTACTTGATCCTTCTTTTAAACCCTCATATCTACTGGTTCAGTTCAATTCTGTTTCTGAGCAGAATTAGGAAACTAGTAGATCTTCAGCCTTCATTACTGTGCTTTTTACGATTTTGAAATGTCTAGCTGGATTGTTATTTGTGTTTGGGCAGGCGTTAACATGCTTCAAATTGATTGGTGATGCTCTCATTTTTGTAAAGAAAAATAGTATATTAAATTCTGCACATAAAGATGAGTATGCCTAATTCCAATTTGATATCGATGTTTCTCAACCCATCATTCCTTTTATTTCATCTGTTTGGTCATTTGGTTTGGTTTGCATGTGACAAATTTAACATTGTTAAATGACAGCCTTAAAACCCCAATTGAATTGTACCACAGGCCTTTGTTTTCCTTTAGATATTCATACCTCATCTTTGATTTATATAAAAGTAGGGGTGTTCATGGGTCGGGTTGGGTCAGTTTATTGGGGTTTTCCCAACCGACCCGACTTGGTCGGGTTACCTGAGGTGGAAACCGAAACCGACCCACTGATAGGCCAAACCGACTTAGTCGGTTTGAGTCGGGTTGGGTCGGTTTCGGTTTTGCTCTTGTACAAAAGGACACCTAATTGAATTCTAATTGTAATTGCCTAATGGGTTGCCTATTTGGTGTAAAAGATTATAGAAAGTTARAAAYTAKGATAGATTGCCTATTCTAATTGTAATTGCCTAATGGGCCTTCTAGTTCTAGTAGAAGACTAGTTATAGTTAAGTAGGAAACTACTCAAACTAGGAAGTACCGAACTAGTAGAAGACTAGTTTGGTTCGGTTCGGGTTGGTATCGGTTTTCACACAAGAAAACCGAAACCGACCCAATATATCGGTTTATATATTTTTCCAACTCGAAACTGACCGATACTGATGAAAACCCGACCGACTCGGGTTGGGTCGGTTTGGTCGGGTTGGGCATTCTTATGAACAGCCCAAGATAAAAGACTTTTGGCCATTTTTTATAGGTCCAACATCCGGGTTGGTCGGGTTGGGCATTCTTATGAACAGCCTTATATAAAAGACTTTTGGCCATTTTTTATAGGTCCATTATTGAGGTAACATATGTCCATTCCACTCGGAACATTCTAGATAAGTCATGGACCATGGCAGCTTGGCAGGGGCTGTTGGGCTAAAGCTTGCCCCTATGAGTAGGTGAGCCTGGGAATTCATACTTGGAGTCATGCTGGGCCACCAAATATACCACCAAGTCAAAGGTTTCTAGAGTGTTGATATCACTTTCCTCATTTGGAAAGTCCATGTGTTATGTGTTCTACTCTTCAAAGACGCATTAAGTTGGCTATTTGTTTGGTTTCCCATATTGATATCAGCTTATGTATGTGGACCTTTTAGTTTTACATTTAAGATAAAAAATAGCTAGAGCACAGATCTTTCTTTTGCCACGTGGTAAAACGATGTGTTTTGATACTTGGCACATGAGAAATGGGTGTCATGGTTGACATCCCAGGAGCATCTCCTTGCTAGATGGATCAATAAGATAATATGTTGTCATACATGTAATACACTTGCAACATGCTACTAAAGCCATGATCTAGGGCCACAGAATGAATTTGTAGAATATTCTAGCACCTGTCTCCTCGTGCATGTGTATTATCAAAATCTACCATTTTATTGGTCCCACCTTGAAGATTAATGAGCTCAAAAAGTTAACTTGGAACATGTTTGCATGTGCTTATGCTGCATACATATGGAATGGGAGATAAAATTATATTGATACCATTCAAAAGCTCCAAAGGTTGAAGAGTGTATAGAGTATATTAGATCAGAGCAGTGTGTATGATAGTTATATCTACATATTTACAAAAAGATAGTTTGATTCCAATTCAAAGAGAGATGTTGGAATTACAACCCAACCCAACAAAACTATGGATTGGAACTGTATCATTTTGCCTTTCATATGTAGTCTCTATGTATTTTATTAACACATAGGACAAAGATCTAAAACTTAAATTTATTTTGTTATCTTGTTCTCTACTATTATTCTGTCTAGAGTTTTATATAACTTCAAAGAATAGAACATTTAATAAAACTTATGCCAACCATTTCTTGCAAATTTATTTTTAAAAGTTTTAACCACAATAAGATAATTTTCAAGATCAATGTAAACTTTCTCTACTTTCACAACTGGAATTCTTATCATTAGAGGTCGTTACCGCTCAAACAAGATATCGCACGCGACTTTTCTCCTCCTCTTTTCTTCACTTTCCTCTCTTCTTCTCTTTCTCTCCTCTCATGCCCTATTGAACTGAACATACACCCACCAAAGATCTCTGCGTATTTCTCAGTTCTCAGTCGAATGAACTTGTTTCAAATATCTGCTCTTCATTCCACTAGACATTGAAGAAGAGAGGAAAGTGATTCAAGCCATTCACAGTTCTTAGTTCCGCCATTGAAGTAATTTGCTATTGAAGAAAGTTTGTCCTCTCAGCTTCAATGCCATTGTTTCTCAGAGTTCTCAAATCTCAAGTCGCGTGTTCATCAGGGTTTTGCTTGAAGAATTAATTATTTCGAATTTTTGAGATTTTAAATTCGTAATTTCCATTGTTGAGCTTCATGGATGAGATCATGGCGAGCTACATGATTATAGCTCGTGGTATAGTGTAGGTTTGTGCAACCTACTCTGCAATTTCTTTTGTAGTTTGTCGCTTTCTCTCTCTAACTCTCTTTCTTGCTTGCTTTTACTTTTTTTCTCCTTTCTTTTCTTCTCTTTCTTCGGTCCTCTTGCTGGAATGGGATGTCGGAAAATGATAGTCGGGAATTTGGAGCCGGCGAGGAAGAGGAATGGTGGTGTGAGGACGAAACAGGCAGGAAGAGGGTCGTGTCGTGGGAGTTAGGCCAGAATACAGCAGCCGGATAATGTACGAAGTTCGGCAGTGAGGTACTACTGTAGGTTGCTTTTCGTTGTTTGCGTGAGTTGGTTGTTTATATTAGAGGTTCCGATTTCGTCTCCGGAGAGATGGGGGATATGGTAGTTGGAATGATGGGCGAAATTCAAATAGACAGAGTTTCAATACAGATGCTTCTACATGCACAACTCAGCTAGATGCTAGGTCTAATTTTTATTCAATGAATGATGATATCTCAGAGAGTGGAATTTTCTCTGAATCTGGAGCCGACCATCTGTTGGATGCTGTAGTATCAAAAGTTCATTCTTCTGCTAAGCAAAATTCAGATGATAATGCATCATGCAGGACAACATTGACAAAGATAAGTAGCTCTGCAGTTCCTACAGAATCTTTTACATACAGCTGGGTTGATCAGTCTGATCAGAGGAAAGTTGAGATGTTTGGTGTTCCTCCACCTCCTTCAAAATCAGAGGTATATAGTGGGATCTAGCTCATTTAAATCTGGATGTAGTAAAGATAATGCTGGGATCTAGCTCATTTAAATCTGGATGTAGTAAAGATAATGCTGAATCAAAGGTGTATATCGTTTTTTTGCTTATTTTTAAATAAATGAGTTTTGCCCAACTTTATTCATGCTGCACTATGGTTCTTGCTGATATTAATGCTGTCCTTTTGTCTTTTAATTTGGTTGAACAGTGTAGCATTGATGCTCTACTTGAACGCACGATTAAGCACATGCTTTTCTTGCAAAGTGTGACAAAGCATGCAGACAAGCTAAAGCAAACTGGGAAGTCCAAGGTGTGCACAGTATTTTATGATTATTTGCTAGATTTGTCATTTTCTAAGCAAAAGTTGTATTTTAATTTGTCTTAAAGCAGAAATTACATTTTCTATTAGAAGTATGATAACATCAAGTTACATTTCAAGCCTGTGGATAATAGGTTTCAGACTGAAGGGTGGTATATATTATATGTAAAATGAAGAGTTATTTTCTTAAAAGTTTCTAATCAGAGAACAAAATATAAAATCAGTAAACTTTGAAATATTAAAGGATAAGCCTTGGCTTAACTTAACCCGTGTTAAGTTTTGGGAACCATGGAAGAATTTACAGCAATTCCTAATTAATTGAAAGAGGGGCGGAAGCCTAAACCTGGCCCTCCTGGTGGTGATAAAGATTTATCATTCCCATCAAGCACCCCAATGGTGCATATGTATGTTTCTGAACTTGACAGTAGCTTTTATCTCAAATTAGTTTGATCGAATTATGTGCTGATTAAATAGACTTCATAAGGGGATTGAAGGTAGGAATCTACTAAATATTGTGTCGGAGTAGCTTTGATCGAATTGTGTCAGAGTAGTCATGGTGACAATAGACTTTATTTTTGGAATCTACTAAATATTGCAGGATAATAGAAATTTTATCATTCAATTAAATTATAGCTTAAGGTAGGAATCTAGTTCAATTAAATTAGTATCTCAACCATCTATGTCAGCAGTGGGGACTGAATATAGGCCAAACCTGTGGATATCTACATGAACATGAGTTAAACTTAGTGAATTTAGACTTCAATGTTTGTCCTTATATTTTATAGAAGTCATTTCTTATATTAAAGAAGTTGGTTGGTTTGGATTTTACAATTTCTGATCAAAATTATGTAGTTTTTCTGCAAGGAAATGATGAATTTTAAAATGGTGTTGTTGCAGACACCAAATTCACCCATAGCAGCAGGGAGTTCTTGAGGTAGAAAAACCAGCAAACGGATCATACTAGTCTGTCATGGTTCTACATAGAGCAATGTGGAGGTAAGAAACATGTGACTTTTCTTATTTGTAACAATAAAAAATTTGTTATATAATGGAAAAAGAATGGTATACACAAATGATGTGCAAACACTGCATTAGTTGGCTTACCACCACTAGCCACCCATCTTTCTAYATTAGTGCTTGATATTGATATTTGTAAGGAAAATCCCAGGCCATGAGGYAAGAAACTTCTCTTATTGAAATTCATTGTGAGTGGTTTGACGTGAGAATTGAACTTCTTTGTCTTCTCTTCAATTCCCTGTARAAATGATTTGAAATGCACTTTAGAATTACTAAAATGGTAACTTTAGGATTTCTTTTTATCTACCAACCTAGTAAGCTACCTAGCTAGCTTAAGTTAACAAGAGTGGTTTAGACTTAGATCAGTGCCATTATCCATCGCGATCATCAACTCGTGGCAGGAATGTGGCTTATGCGCTTGAGCTTGGATGGGTTTTTTTTACTTTGTTTTTTCATGGGGGAGAGATGTCCCATCTTATGATTAGGAGCTGATAGAGAGGTTGTGGGTTTTTGGAGTTTTTAAGTGTTTGTTTGACAAGTCTCAATATTTGTTGAATGATCTTTAGTGGTGGATGCAAGTGCCTCTAAATAAGAGCAATCAACACTTTTAGTGGCAAGTAGAAGTGCTACTATAAAGCTGAAATCGGATTCTTAAAATTATTTTTAGAGGCAAATAAATTTGTCTCAAATTTAATTAAAATGCCTCTAAAAATTCACATTTGATGGCATTCATACATGCCTCTATATAATGCCTTTTAGGGACGATGCTTTGGAGGCATGATTATGTGCCTCAATATCTTATTTTTGGAGGCATTTATAAGATGTGCCTCTAATTATCAGTCAAGTGCCTCTATAACATTCAGAAGCTAGACATTTAGAGGCAATCACTTGAGTGCCTCTAATTCTTTTTAGGGGCATTTTTTCTGTCTTTAGAAGCATTTTTTATTGCCTCTATAGGTGATTTTTCTAGTAGTGTCTGCCCAGGTAATTTCCTTTGCTGAGTTCATTTTTGACAAGCCACTTTTAGAATGTATGAGCAATTTTAACCATTTCCCCATTGCTCTAAGTAGAGATGTTTCATACCATAAATAATTAGATAATGTGAGTGGTATCTTTAAATAAATGGTTATAGGTGGTTTTCCAATGTATTATTTTTTCAGATCAATAGTTATCCATTCCAATACAATTCCCCCCAAGGATCAAACAAGTTTGGCTTCTTTGAGAGAGAGACAAATCCAAGAAGAGGCCTATAATAAAAGCTCCAAAAATATGGAGGGAGTTTCTGGAAGTATTCTTAGGACTTTGCAAGCACCACATAAGATTCCATTGGTTTGGAGTTCTCTCTCTCTCTCATGTGCACATGATTTCCTGCTATTCAACTGTTCATATTGGAACCATCATTGTTCATCACAAATTCAATAACAATCATTATCTGGGTCTGCTGCTTACTGCGACCATAATACAGTACAAGGTGCAAGTGTGAAAATTTAAATGCTAATCTACCATTCTAGATATGAGAAAAAGGTTAATCTAATTCTTTGAATGATTTATCCTATGGAGCCCTTGACTTGGATTCGTGAAATGCTGGTGCTCCTGTGAACACATGTAGCCTACTATTTCTTTCCTATGGTGATTCTCCATAATGGCAACCATCAAAATTTTTAGATCTTCAGTTGAAGGAGGTCCAGGAGAAAATACTTTCTTTCCTTCAATGATTGATGAGTAAAAAGTATCTATTTAGTGGGTACAACCAAGGATAGTTAATGCCGAGGGATTTACTCCGACTCAATCTAAAACTTGGCCCAACTCTACCATAGCTTGTATTTTGTTAGTACAAACATGCTGCACATTTTGTCTTCAATTCTTCTGCCAGTGGTTTGTATTGTACGCTAATATGGATGTGTGAATTATGTTGGCCTTCTGTTCAGCTAAACCCAGAAAAGTTGTGGAACCAGTTATGACATACGAAGGTGCAATTAGCATTAAAGATGCCTATGACCCAAGGATGATCACCTCAGGCTGTCCCACCTCCATATTCTTTCCGCAGGACTAGCACAAAGCAAGAAAGAAGTTCTGGCGCAGAGGCTGAGAGGGACTTGTTGCAGGCCAAACCACAGCCGGCACAATGCAGCATGGTAGTCGAGATGACCCCAGAAATTGCCATTGACATCAACGCTTCACCATATTGTCTATCTCGAGAAGTTTCCAAAGCAGAACAAGTAGGAGATGATCGAATTGCTGTTGATGTGAACCTTTTACAGGCAAAATCACAGTTTGGTGGGATTGGTGCTTCCACTACTATACCAACTGTACATAGAAAGGTGGGCACAGTTCAGATTGGCATGTCAAGGATGTACTAGGGAAATGGAAGAAAGAAGAAAGAGGTTGCTTCTAGTCCAATGAATCTGAGGGGAAGAGTCCATGTAGAAATTAGAAGCTATTTTTGGTCTCTTGGAGAAGATCTAGATTTTACATTGGTATTACATATTGGGGTTAAGCCAAAGGGCGTTTTCAAAAAAAAAAAAAATATTGGGACTAAGAGGGTGAGAAGAAAGCGGACTTCATATGTGAAATGTATTGATTTTTTCCTTTTTTTTGTAGAAAAATATTTCGAATGGAGAATAAACTTTTAAATTGCATTTGTATTGATTTTTTATATTTCATTCTAATTTAGATGAATGTAGACAAAACATGTTATTTGAAGCAAAGCAGGAACAATTTAAAAAGAAATTATGGATTATATGAAAAAAAAAGATTTAGCGGCTGTCGCAGCTGCTGCTAAAGAAGTCCATGGCTTCCGCTAAAAAACAAGTGCACCAAACTTATAGCGGCAGTTGTTTGCTTTAAAACTAACGCTAAAGATAGTTTCAGCAGCAGTTTTTGCATTTGTACTAGCATCTGTAAGACTGCCACTAGAACTTCTAGTGACGGTTCTTTTAGCGGCAGTTTTCCGGCTATCGTTAAAGTTTCTAGTGGCAGTCAAAACTGTTGCTAAAAGCCATTTTTCTTCTTGTAGTGAGTATACAATATATAAAAATGGAATGGATTGGGTCATGGTGGATTAGCCTGAGGTATATTCAAATTCGATCTGTTAATTAGACAGATCACGTTTTCTGTGATTTGTTAGAACCCAACTCTTATCGGATCAAATTTCAATTCAAATTGAAACTGATCTGACTTATTTGCATCCAAACTTAGGGGGGATCGTGTTGCCAATTTAGATGAATTGGACTTCGACGTGGCTATATGTTTAGTTCATCTTTCCTCATTACCCCCATCTTGTACCAGCATTTTCTCTAATCATGTGTTTAGATTGCTAAAAAATAAGAGAAACAAAAAGTTGAGTGAAAGTTCATAAGTTGTTTTGCGGAACTCAATAACTTTCTAACTTTATGTTTCTTTCTTATTTTCCTTCAAGACAAGCATAGTTTAAATGGAATCACTAGTTTTTTTTTTTTTTTTTTTTTTCGGGTAAACAACGAAATCACTAGTTTAAGGTTTCACATTTTAACTTAAATCTATCCACATGATGGACTTATTTTGGGTGGGACCTTGTATCGTATTGATTCATTTACGATTCGTTTGCGATTCCTTACAAATTTAGGCAATGCTTAGGAGTGCTTAAAAATAAGTGTTTATTTGGGCTATTAAGCACTTATTGCTATTTAAGGAATAAGTCCGAAATAAGTGCTTATTTTAAAAATAAGGGCTTATTGTTTAAGCCCAAATTTTTAGCTTTTTTTTAGTTCTTATACAATAAGCACTTATTCAATTTTTTCTTCCAAAATTATCCCTAGTTGAGTTTTAAAATACCACTTATAAAATTATGCCTAGTTGAATTTTATAAAAGTACTTTCATAAAATCCACCCAATTAATGATTAAAGTAGTGCTTTTACAAAAATGCTTTTATAAAAATGTTTTCATAAAAGTACTTTCATAGAAGTGCTTTCATAAAAGTAATTTCATAAAAGTGCTTTCATAAAAATACTTTTCTAAGTGCTTTCACAAAAGTACTTCCATAAAAGTACTTTTGTAAAAGTACTTTTATAATAAAAATGTTTTCATAAAAGTACTTTCACAAAAGTGCTTTTATATTCATAAGGATATATTTTGATAATTTTAAGAAAATGAACAACAAAATAATTACAAATACTTATTTAAGTGCTTATTGGAGAAAAGATTACCAAATATGCCAGATGTAAATAAGTGTTTATTTGAATAAGCACTTATCTTTAAGCACTTATTCAATAAACACTTATTTTTAACCTAAGCACTCCCAAAGATGGCTTAGGAACATGAACCATCATTTGAAGGTCCAACCAAAGAGATCAGATATATTATTACTTTTGGATAGAGAAAAGGGAAAAATAAATTAGATCTCTGGGACATGCATTGACTCGGGTTGATCATTTTTTCTTGTGGGTCATAGATAATGGTAGCAAGCATATTCCCCACACCTAGGGATGTCAATGGGTCGGGTCCACACTGACCCAACCTATCAGATTACAGGGTTAACCTTAATCATTGATTGGGTTTTGGGTCAATTTTTAATTGGAGTGGACCCGAGCTAAATTGACATTACATCATTGAAATATCTATATATCTATATCTATATGTCTATAAATCTATCTATACAGGCTTGGTTGACCCGTGCTAAACCTGATCCGTAAACATAGAAGTTGCTTTTCAAAATAAAATCATTCAAAACCTTAATAGAATAGTAAATGTACACATGCTTTGCATGCAATAATTTTAAATGATGATGAAAATAATATGTCCAAAATTAATGAGACTTAATACCTCAAGCATAAGACTTAATGAAAAGGAATTAAATGAGATAAAATTATTAAAACTAATAGTTTAAATTACATTTTCAGCCCTTACAAATAGAAATGGATTAAATTCAAAAATAGGGATAATTTATTTAAGAAGAAAAGCTTCATACCCTCATTCATACTTTTAATAATAGTATAGATATAGATAATATAAGTAATGGTACCAACTGATCCAATTGATAAGGTTTCTCGTTGGTTGTAGAAGAGACTTTGGATCAAATATTGTTGTCGTCCGGACCAGGTATGGGGACAGGATACACCCCCACTTTGCCACCCCCCAGGTTAATAGGAGCTTGATTGGATCTGCTGCTCACACCACTGTTTATCATGAATCATGTAGCCAATTATAGTGAACATGCCAATGGTGCAAGCAAAATCCCAAGTGGTTATATAACCCCATGGATCCAAATAAATAAATAATAATAATAACAATAATAAAAGTTCTATGCATATAAATCTATAATGTGAAAAAGATATGGTATGGAAAGAGTTTTGACCAATCAAAACCCACCCGTGAATTATTCGCTGCCATGTTTATGATCCCAGTTTATTGCTCAGTTGTTTTTCAGATATCATATATTTTCCATATCATAGTCGAACCCTATATATGTTTCAAAACTAGTTGTCATACTGGTATCTAGGGGTGTCAATTGGACTGGATTTGGTCTAATCCAATCCAATCCAATGTGAGTTGCCATTATAAATGGACCAGGTCTAATCCAATCCAATAAATGTTTTGGACCAATATGGACCGGTCCAATTCAATGTCTGGACCATCCAATCTATTCAAATTCATTTTGATTTAGATTGGTTTCAACCCAAACCCAGTCCATTGACACATATATGCTTATCTTATATCAATGGACCAGATATTGACTTAATCCAATCCAATCCAATATAAATTTGTTATGGACGGATCAGGTCCAATCCAATCTAATAAATATTTTGGACTAAATTGATATAGTCCAATATGTCTTGTTGGTCTGTCTAATCCATCTAAATTGATTTTGGACTGGATGGGGTCAAATCCAAAACAGGTATATTGACACCCTTACCCATAACCTATCAAGTGGCATTTATCAAAATTCATGGAGTTTTGATTTGACCAAATTCTTTCCGCAAAATAGGTTTTCCCATGAATTGATTTGAACAAAGGTGAGTTCATGTTTGGTGAGATATGAAGAATACAAATTAGTGGTTAATCAGTATTTGAAGGGCTGCTCGTTTCAGCCTCTTTAAATAGTTTATCCGTAGCGTTTCAGAACCACAGAATCAACTTAACTGAATTTTCAGTTCAGCCCTCCCAAACGAATCCCTAATCAGAACCCACATCCATCATACATTCATAATGCTTTATTGCTAAATTCACATAATGAATGGTGGAAAGGTACACGTGTAGACTTGCAATGGAGCTTCTATAGATCTGACTCAACGTGATGTAATTAATGAAGAAAGGAGGATTTTTTATTCTTCAGCTATGGTGGGAGCCCTCAAAGTGGACAAAATGATTCCCATGGTCCATGAGCTACGAGGAAAAAAAGGAAAAGTTGTCTCAAAACCCTAATTTTTTTTCCTGTGCTTTTCTTTTGACCAATGTATTTGTTAGCCTTTTCTCGTCTCACTTGTGCATACAGCACATCCGACTCGGCATCAATGGACTTTCGCTTTCAACCAAAATAATTATAATTCTCAATTTCTCATGAGATCATGAACAAATTTTCCTGGTAAGCATGCTAACTTAAGTTTTATTGTTGGTTCAGTCAAATTAATCCATTTTTACTGCCCAATGATTTTGGGAGAATGACGGTAAAGCCCAGGGTCAGAATTTTTAGACCCAAACTACAGTGGGGTGGGTGTCATCTCGGAATTGATACCAATTCATGGGCGGGCATTGGTGTATAGAATGAAGAGTTTTTGACATTTTGAATGTTTGTAGTTCTACAGTGGAATTCAGAAATCTGCATTGGGCCTGTCCGTATTTATCTGAATAATTTTTGGGAAAATATATGATGAAGAAAATATATGGTTAGTCCAAAAGCCCAGCTATGTGAATAAAGATAGTCTCATTTTATTTGGAGGTAGGGGTGTCGATTGGACTGGATTTACTCCAATCCGATCCAGTCCAATGTGAATCCATTACTAATGGACTGGGTCCAATCCAATCTAATGAATAATTTGGACCATTTTGGACCGGTCCAATTTGTTCAAATTCATTTTAATTTAGATTGGTTTCAACCCAAACCCAGTCTACTGATACCTATATTCTTATCTTATATCAATGGATCGGATATTAGCTTAATCCAACCATATCCAATATAAATTTATTACGGACGGGCCAGGTCCAGTCCAATCTAATAAATATTTTGGACTGGATTGGTCCAATCCACTATGTCTTTTTGGTCCATCCAATCTGTCCAAATTGATTTTGGATTGGACGGGGTTAGTCCAAAACCAGTCCATTGACACCCTTATTTGGAGGGAAATCATCTAAAATCTTCCTTTCCCTTTATCGCTGCAAATGGATAGGATTTTATAGAATTCAAAATTGCTTATGTCGAACTGGGATATCTGTTTGGGCGTAAAGTAGAATATGGAATCGGATCTGAATATGATTTGTTTAGTAATGAGATTGAATTCTCTATTTGGTAAGAATTTTAAGAATGAATTCAGATATATATTGCTAAATCCAATCTCCTAATATCTGATCTTTTAGTATTAAAAATCTTAATTTAGAATTAAATTGGATTTAATAATTATATAAATCTGCTTTCTTATTTATAAATATAGTTTTTTTTGTTTTATATTTTACTTTCATAAATT